ATACACAAAGAGTGGCAGGTCCACAAACAGAGGAGAAAACAAGCTAGCAGAGTTCATGCTTTATTTCCTGCTCAAACATTCCTGTCCAAGCCACACTTTTTCACACAGTGGTAGAACCAAATATAGGCATCGGTGAGGTTTACCATGTGCCTTGGTGCTTAGAAGCACATCCAGAGGTTTCAGGTCTTTCAGTAAATTCCTGCTGGAACAATGAAATAGACATTTAGCTACATAATGATCATAGTTCCTACAGTATAGCATCCTTATCAACATATTAATCTGCTTCCAGTGAGAAATTACAACTTAACTCATAATTCTGCCATATTTAAGTTGTGTAGTTGTGTGATTTTTGTCCTTTATAACTGTTTTTCAAGTTACTTTGGTGCACATTAATCAGCTATGTGCCGCTTGCTCCAGGCCTGGAAGGAGAATCAAGTCTGAGATGCCAACCTACCTATCTACAACAAGGCAAGATACTGAACTTAAATTAGAAACAAACAAGATTAGGAGCAGCAGAGGGTGGGTGGGTATGAGGGGCACTTGTGAAAACACACACAAAATAAATAAGGATATAATATGCATATGATGGACTATTTAGGATTGAAATTAACAGACTGTGCGTGTTCAAAAAGACTGGAAATATTTAACATCGCTAGTCTTTAGGATTCCTGTAATTACCACAAAGACCCTGGAGGTTAACCAAACATCATCAAGTCCTATTACCGTGTTTAATGAATCTCCAGTCTACAAAAAGCCTCCCTCACACAGCAGTTAAATTCCACAACAGAGTGACTATTACACAAACAAATACATAACTGAGGGTATAGATGGTTAACTTTTGTAACCTTACTGATTTGCTACAGAGGGCAGATCAAACGGGTGAGACTGAGAGGATTACTTTTTTATGTCCATGGTTCTTAGTTTTAGAGTTACAGTATCCTGGCCTACATATTCTCATTGGTTTTCATGTACTGCAGCATTATTTGGGGATACTTTGACATATTTTTTTATGTTTTATGTATATTATTTCCCATGATACATGACCAGCTTGTTGTGTTTCTGTTGTGGTACGTGGCTATGACTGCTGTTGTTTTGAGTTACATATAACGAACAATGACACAGTCGTTGAGACTATGATGGAGTTGCACAGCATTCAGGAACTTCCTTACAGTTTGGATTACAGGCTTTGGGTTAACAGCACTGGGCCTCGGTAAAGTGTGGAGCCCAGTGACTAAGAGGCCAACTGTATTACACAGCCTACATAAAAATGAGCACCACAGTTCTTTAAAAATGACCCGACGAGTGCCTACTGACGTTAAAGTGTGAAAAACAACAATATGAAGTGGTTATTTCACGGTTGTTGTTGTTGTAGCTTGGTCAGATCTGAGCCCTTTAGCCAAAGGAAAGGCAGCTGTCAGTCTCTGTCCGGGATACGCGGACAGGTTTAACATGTTTTGCGAAGACTCTACGATAGTACAAACAGCCAGTAAACTAACAGGTAGTCTCTTTTTTTAGTGTTTGTTCTTGTAAGGGTAACAAATCACCGCATGTTCACTACTTGCGACAGTTTTCTCACGTAGCATCAAGACGTCCCAGCTAGCTTCTTGATGCTATCAAGTTAGTAGAGTCCGTTGTCGGACAGCTAAGCTACTGCAGGTCTATTACCGGACAAGCATCAACCACTCCTACTTCTTCTTTAACATTAACTGCTGTTTTTCACAACACGATTTAGACCACAGCCACAGTCCAGCGAGTGCAAACAAGCACGTCGACGTAGCGCAATTTGTGCAACAACTCACTTACACGGAGGTAAATATGATCGGTGCTCAACAAACCAAGAATTAACGTTTGGTTTACATTAAACGTTAACTAAGTCTTAACCCAGGCATGTTAGCAGCCACAAAACATTAACATAATGGTAACCCGGATCTCTAAACAAGCATGGATAAAAAGGCCAAGACAATAACAACCATAAACACAAGCGAAGTCAAAACAGTTGCTGTGTGTCCGACAATGGAATTATAACATCAGTAGCACAGTAATTACTGTACGAACAAGCATCAAAACAAAAACCTTCTGGTAACAGCATATTAGAAACAGCCCACTTATGGCTATAGAAACGATTCGTTACTGTTATAACACCACTGTAGGACCGCAAGACTGTAAATACGCTGGTGGTGTTTAACTACTCTGTGTCCGAAAATGGAACTATGTGATTGCGCATTGCAGTTTTACCTTGTACACATCTCCGTATGTGCCGCTTCCTATCCTCTGGATCAGCTCGAAATCCTCCTGTGGATTCCGCCGGGACAGGTCGACACTGGAGTTCATCATTTCCACTGCCGATTACGGCGCCGATCGCGCACGGTTTACGAACCCCAACAATGTAAGAAAACAGATATTTAAAGAAAAACATACGGCGTCAGAAAATCCCAGCCTGAATCCAATGTAGCTCCAACATGGCTTCCACTGCGCATTGGGCATGCGCAATGGACATCATGGCGTACCCTCTCCATGGTGTCTGATGGGGGAGACGTGTGTTGTTAAATTTTAATGCATTTGGAAACGGCTTTCGTAGCTGAATATGGTAATTAAAATGCAATTAAATTATTACTACTTCACTAGTTGCTTGTATGGATAGATATTAAGAAACAGCAGAAAAAATACAAATTATAATCCAAACCTACACTGATTTCACTATATAATGAAAATAAAGTCAGATTTTGGGATTTACACAGGAAGCTGTAGGGGAAAGGAAATGAATGAAAAACACTAAGCTCTATGGCTGCATTATTTGGCTCCCTTAATGTAAAACTGGGCTAAGCAGGGCTAAACAGTGGCAGATGGCAACTTTATGATTCAGTGAGGGGGTCTGTGATGCAGGAAAAAAAACAATCCCATCTTTTCCAGTTACCGTTTTAGAGATATTTCATATTTTTCAGTAGTGAATAGTAGCAAATAATAAAACAGTTAAACACACAATTGATTTAAAAAGTAAACTATTTTCTGCCATAAAACTCTTTAAAAAAAACATACAGTCACCATGGAATGGTCCCCCATTAGCAAAACAAAAAGCAGGGGACTATGCCAGTGTTATTAACCTGAAAAGTGTTGAAAAGAAATTCACAATTTATCAGTTTGATTAAAAAGTAATGCAAAAAAAGGCAGTGTCTGGCAATTTTATGAACATGTTGAGATACTGAGCAACATTTGTGAGTTGCTTTTTAAAGATAACCATAATCAATGAATAAGTGAGCTTGGGAATGAGTGCCACGAGCAGGATTTTAGAAATTAGAGGTCAAGCACTGCTGGAGGATTGGAAAATCAATATTTCTTTACTTTAAGCTTTCAAAAATAATTTCTCAGCTGCTTCCAAAAACACATTTTAAATATCTGGAAATCTCATTTACAATTAAAAAACTGTAACCAAACCAAAACATGTTACAGAGCGGTTAAAACACAGTGGTATTTAAACATGGCCACTTTTTTTTTTTTACATGTTAGCAACAAAGAAAATCAAACCGAGTGCCTTACAACATAACGTCCCTGAAAACACAGTCTGTTTTGACATATTTATGAATAAGTCCATCTATTGCTCCTAAGCTGACTCTGAAAGTTGCTTGATGCTTCAATGAGGACACAGTGAAAGGCAGACTGTGTTGAAGCTTGGTTTCTTGGCTTGGTGAGGATTTGACCCCAGAGTGGATTTGGAAAGTCTGCTTCTTAGAAGGAGATCTGGAAGAAGATGGGCAGTTTTGCATCCCAGTCTGAGGCTTTGTTTCAGGGTTAGATGTTGGTCCAGTATCATATTGTATTAGAAGTTTTTTGAGTAGACAGGACAACTGAGGACTCAGGAGGAGCACCAGGATACCACCAGGACGGAGAACTCTAGACACAAACATTTGTTATAATAGTTGCATCTCTATCTTTCAATGCTTATTCCAATAATGCTATGACATTTTTATCTATGCATTAATTCAGTTTTTCCTATTAAAAAAAACAAACTAACTAAAAAACAGAACAATAAGACAGCTTAGGATGTGCACTGATGTGCAAAGTGACTCCCAAGCTAAAAATCCACAGTGCACACATTCACAGAGAAAACAAGTAATGTTTTCTGTTTCGCCAAATAATTCTAAAAGAAACAATTGAGACCGACAAACATAGGAACAAACCTCTCCATCTCTGCCAGGATGAGTGGCAAGTTGGCAGCCATGTCTATTCTGGAGCCAAACTTCCTGCCAAATGGCAGGTCACAGATCACAGCGTCTACAGTGGCACTGGGCACAGGCAGTACTGCACACACAGAGGAGGACAAACAAGCCTAGAGGTAATTTAATATACGACAACAGGCTTCACACTAACCTCCCACTCACTGAGTCCTATCCAAAAAATACAGCCATGCATCCACAGTGAAAATTCATGAGCTAAGATTCAATATTTAACTTCTCGAAGACATGAATTTGTAATATAGTTAAAAAATTAATTTATAGTAATTCAATTTATAATTTAATCCTTTTTAAAAATGTGAAAATGTGAGCTACTTTATGGTGGTCGGTCTTATCGAGATATACTTCCTCTATTAAAAAAGAAATGTACTCTAAGATACCATAAAGACTAACCTCATATAAGTAACGCCAGTCAGGTTTGATAAGACTGAACATGTCATATGTGACATTCAAAGAAATGTGAACATAATAATTTTTTCACGTTTATCTATATTTTCACATGTCTGGCTAATTTTCCACATGACTAGATTCATTCATGCACACAGGGGCATCTGTCGTCCGCCTTAAAATCCACTTGTATTGCACTGGATTTACAACTGGTGCGATTTAAAAAGTTAACGTCTGTCCCTCTTTTTAAATGAGAACATTAGTTTAATACAATTAAGTAAGACATGTATTAATAATGTAATATTTAGCTTACTTTACTGGTCTTTTTTGTGCAGGTGACCTACCCAGAGACGACGCTTTCAGCAGGTTTATTCTGTTTTCCAACTCAGCAAATGCTACGTTCTCACTGGCCTTCTGCAGCTGTGCTTCATCAATATCCACACCCAGGAAACAGGCATCCTGAAAATCCCAGAAACAGGGATTTTTAAACCTCATAAACAAACTTTTCTAAACATTTCTATACTTTAAAGATCAACAGTACGTGATTTCTTTTCTGACCTTATGCTCCTGTGCAGCTTCTATTAAGATGGTCCCCACCCCACACATTGGGTCAACCACACGGAAGCCTGGCTAGAAAACAGAACACAGCACACAGCGCATACAGCTGGTTAACCACAAAAAGTATGACTGTGACTGGTTCACCACACTGAATGCCAAGTGACAGACAACTAACATCATACTAAAACCTTTTGCATAGAGGGCTCTTTAAGAGGATCAGATGGGGGGTAGGCTAGCCAAAGTACTTTCACTTTGTAAAAACACATGCTACAGTAAAAGTTGTTACTTTAGCACATGTAATTAAGTAAATATCAGAAATCTTCCCAGATCCAAATGGGCAAAACAAACTAAACTATCCATCCGTTTTCTACTGCTTCTCTGGAGCTGGGTCACGGGGGCAGCAGATTAAACAGCGAAGTCTTGACAACTTTCTCCCCAGCCAGCTCATTTGGGGGAATGCTGAGGCATTCCCAGGCCAGCTAAGAGATGTAATCTCTCCAGTAAGTCCTAGGTCTACCCCGGGGCCTCCTCCTGGTAGAACATGCCTGGAATACCTTGCCCAGGAGGCATCCTAGTCAAATTCCAAGCAGCTGTACCTCCCAAATAGTGGAAGTCAGCCACACTCATTTCCACCACTTGTATCTGCATTCTCATTCGTTCAGTGGCTACCCAGAGCTCATGGCCATAGGTGAGGTGTAGATCAACAGGGTAAACTAAAAGCTTCATTTTTGCGCTCGGTGTTTACAATACACAGATACAGAACCTACATTACGGCAGATGTAGCTCTACTCCATCTGTCAATCTCCTGCGCCCCTATGTAAACTCCTCTACCGGGGCCAGAAACCCGTCCCTGAGCCGGAGTGGGAACGCCACCCATTTACGGTAAAAACCACAAACTAAACTAGAGGCAAATCATTTTGCTACACAAACATAAATGGAAGAGCTCTGCTTGCATGATGTGATGATGCCTTCTTATTTGTGCACATAATAATATAACTCCGTCATGGTTTCAGAATTCATCAGCATACAAACCATAACCTGCAACAGGCACAGAACAGCTGTGTGTACAGTAGTATATACACCTGTATATGAGCCAGTGAGGCCATGGCCCAGGCTGTTGTAGACCTTAGTCCTGTGGTTTTTATATAGCTCCGGTTAGCAAGAGGCAACCTGAAGGAAAGAAGACTCAACTTATTACTTCTTATCAAATTAATTACAGATATAATATAAAAGAGACCGGTCCATCTTAAGTCATTTGATTAAACATTTGTGGGTCTTAATGGCAAAGAGCAGTAAGCTAAACTTGTAACAGACAGAGCATATTATAAGCAGTGACAATAAAAGAACTGCAAAATGTATAAGAGGTCTGTTGCTGTACTGAGACTTAGATGTATATTACTGTGTTAAATGTAAAACATCATTGTCAATAACCTGGTCAGTGGGATCCCGAGCAGGCAGTAGTCATCACTCAAATGGACATTTATCTACAGAAAAACAACAACAACAATAGATAATATTACAGCTGAAGTGCCAGAAAAGACAAACAAAACTATTTATATTGCAAACATTTCTATTGTAAGACAAAACTTAACTGAACTTATAATCAGTGCAATCCAACAGATTGTTTATCAAAAACAACTGATTACCTCCAACTGTGGATTCTTCAGGTCAGCCTTCCAGCCCAGCAGTCTGCTCAGACCTGCTCCAATCACTCTGCTCACCTCCTGTTTCACACGAAAGTAGACGCACACATTTTTTTGAACATATCCACTGAATCTAAATGTCTGTTTCTATGTGGATCCCAGGGATTGAACTTAGTAATATAGAGAGATTAAAAGTATATGTCCTTTTAAACAATTATTACCGCTACACCCTTTGTCTGGGTAAGTTAAACTGATAAACTATTAAGAGAAATGACAACTCGTATCTCTGAACATTTGTATTAAGATAACTTATTCTTACATAAGTTGTGGTGAGTGTTGTGGTAGCATTAACATGTCGTGTTTTTCAGTGGTGGGAGAAACTAGAGCTCTTGGAGAAACCTGCTTACACTGAAGACTCATACCTACTTTAAACCCAGGTGCAGTTAATGCTAACCACTGAGCTACCATGCTGCCCCTGCACTTCTTTTCTGTTAAACACCTGTAAAAAGAAGCAAAGACAGACTTTAACATTTCCTACCTGTGCGCCCAAGCATCGTGACAGAGATCCAGAACATTTGCAGCTGATCCTAAAGGAGACCGGGATACAGGAAAGCCGCTCTGGTTTATCCTCACAGGTTGTCAGCAGTGTCTTATTTTTTTCTCCAGTGGTCTTCACTTCATATGGAGATAAACACGAGGAGACATAATTATATAGAGACTTTAACCTCAGAAGTCACTGATGTATAAGCCGTCGTAAAAATAAAATGTTGCCATTGCTTTACCATTTTCCTGACTTTCTTCAGTGAAATCCTTTGCTATGTCATCCATCTTCCTGCTGCTACTTGCTCCACGGTGCTCCAGCCTGGATGCTTGGTGGTCACAAACTGGTCCTCCCCCATTGCCGTATGCTCCATGTGTACAGTCGATAAACTCCTCTAACATCCCCTCTGCTTCTTCCTCTCTTGTCCTTTTTTCCTCACATGCCTTCCCCTTTTCTACAGTCTTCTCAATGTCTGTGTCCCAAGCTGCCACTTTTCTCGCCTTCTCCTCCTCCTCATCCCTCTTTCTCTTCTGTGCCATTGTGGATACTCCATTTTGTCCACCACTTCTCTGTTTGTCAATCTCCTCCTTCCTCTCCCCTCCTATACTTGTTCTAAACTCTACAAGGCTCTTCTCCCCCTCTCTGCTCTGTTCGTCACTCCCTCTCATCTCATCCTCCCTCTTCCTTGTCACTCCCAGGGCAGGGCTTGATGTTTTGACGGTATTTTTGCTGCCTGTCAGCTCCCCCTGCAGTCGACTCCATGTCATTACAGCACTGGTCCACTGATTCTTGTCACCCAACAGTCTGGACTGTAGCACAGAGGCTGCCTTTGCTATAAATATTACAAAAGACGCGATACAGAAGTCAGTTCAGAAGTGGTATGTAAACACTGAACGGTATTGCTTATGTTTTCGTATTAATTGTATGTATAGGTTCTTGGAGTTAGTTTGAGGCTACTACCTGTGCTGGTGTGGGCAGACAGACTCACCGGCGAGTCTTGTTTCAACAGAAGAAAGAGTCTCTCGGCACCCTTCAGGTTACTAACTCTGTTGATCTTTGCAGAAGAGCTGAATAACACTTTACCTGGAATTTGACACGCCTAAATGCAAAAATCCACATTCAGATTTAAGAGCTCTTTTACGTCTTTCATCAAAAAGTTAATTTTTAACCTTGTCTTATAGTAGATTAACCTTCAGAGAAAGGTCACTTTGGCTTGGTCGTAGTGATCGAACACTGATAACCACTCACGTCGATGGCCAACAGTTTCTCTACACACTGAGACAACAGCTGGCTCAGATCATGTTAACAGTTGTGATCAGAAGTTTGCATACACTCATCATGGGCAGCAATTTGGGACTGTTGATGATTTCTTTAACTGTTCTTTTTCCATAGTGGAATGATTGTACAGCATACATCTTTAACGACTTTTTTTTTAAAAAATTGGTGCACAGGATTCAATTTATTTTGTATTTTCTCTAACCCAAGCAGGTTCAAAAACGTACATACAGGCTCAAATAAATATATATTAGCCCTTCTAATATTTGATTAAATGTCCCTTAGCACTTTTGCTAGCCAACAAGCTTCTGGCATAATTCTAATTAGATATCTGCCCAGTTTTCTTGTCAGAATTAGTAGAGGTTATTTAAACTGGTTGGTTTCCTGGCATAGACCTGACTTTTAAAAAGACCCCACAAATTTCCATTAGGGTTGAGGTTAGGGCTTTGGGATGGCCATTCTAGAGGCTTAATTCTATCATTCTTTATCCAAAACCAGCTCTGATGTGTGTTTGGGATCACTGTCTGGATGGAACAGCCAACCTTCAACCATCTGTCTGTCGCCAACACTTATTGAAGGAGTGTATGTACATATTTGAGGCTGTACGCATGCTTTAACCCTGTGCGGATTACATCACGTGACAGCGACAATCACAAAATTACGTAAAGCCTGACTAAAACGTTTAAACAATAAAACTTTGCTGTAAATTTGAATATTTTCTATAACA